AGTCTTTCATTCAGCTACTGAAGAGCTGAGATTAAACCTTTAAGATACATCAGGCTCTGCTCTTACAGTGCGGAGCCTGCTTGGGATTCTCTCTGCCCCTCACCCATGCTTCCTCACACGCACTTTTTCTCTCTCTCAAAATAGAAATAAACTTTTTTTAAAAAGAGGAAAAAAACAAACAGAAGCACCTAAACATTTCATATCTTTAGCTCTGTTGCTGTCAGCAGATTTCTACAATGGCTCATGTGTTACCTTGAGACTTTCTTAATTTTAAGGATATTCAGACACGGTGTCATGCCTTAAGGTTTTTCCTGCCTGTGGTCATAGTCATCTTTGTTTTTGTTTTTACAACCAACTTCTATTTATATGTGTTTCAAAACAGGCCTCAGTGTTGTTTCTCCCACTTACCTAGCATGGCCTCAAGCTGCTTTCCTCAAAAGATTAGCTGGAATGCATAAAATACTTTTATAGCTTAATGTAATTCAATTTCACGTAAAATGTGCAGTGCCTTGTGCTGGTAAAGTAATGATAAAAATCCCTTTTTAAAAGTCTTGGTCATTTTGGGGCGCCTGAGTGGCTCAGTCGGCTAAGCGTCCAACTTCGGCTCAGATCATGATCTCACGGTTTGTAGGTTCCAGCTCTCCATCATGCTTTGTGCTGACAGCCAGCTCAGAGCCTGGAGCCTGTATCAGATTCTGTATCTCCCTCTCTCTCTGACTGTCCCCTGTTCATGCTCTCTCTCTCTCAGAAATAAATAAAACATTAAAAAAATTTTTTTAAGTCTTGGTCACTTATAAAATGAGATTTCAATTTATTCTTCCCATAACAACACTACTGTCAACAAAGCTGTGATCTTTTCATTACCATATATGTATCCTTGATAGAATTTATAAAACTCCTAGGATTTAAGGGATATATACATTAATTTTTTAGAGATGATAAATCCATTTCACCATTTAAAATATTCTGATTATAGGGGTGCCTGGGTGGCTCAGTAGGTTAAGTGCCTGACTTCAGCTCAGGTCATGATCTCACAGCTCATGGGTTCGAGCCCCACATGGGGCTCCATGCTGACAGCTCAGAGCCTGAAACCTGATTCAGATTCTGTGTCTCTCTCTCTTTCTGCTCCTCGCCTGTTCACCCTCTCTCTCTCTCAAAAATAAACAAACATTAAAAATAAAAACAGGGGTGCCTGGGTGGCACAGTCGGTTAAGCATCCAACTTTGGCTCAGGTCATGATCTCACAGCTTGTGGGTTCAAGTCCCATGTCAGGCTCTGTGCTGACAGCTAGCTCAGAGCCTGGAGCCTGCTTCGGATTCTGTATCTCACTCTCTCTCTGAACCTCCCCTGCTCACACTGCCTCTCTCTCTCTCTCAGAAATAAAGCATTTTTAAAAATAATAAAAATAAAAACAAAATATTCTGATTACAAAAGTAACATATTTATTGCAGAAAATCCAAGTAGAAAAGATAGAAAAAGGCTCAAATTTTTTACTTAGAAACTTTATTGTTAATATTTTTCTACTCTCTTTTCTTTATGTCTTATTTTACATACTGGAACTTATACTATAAACTGTCTTAATCCATCTTTTTCTTGTTGACATTGTTCTAAGCATTTTCTCTGATCACTAAAAACCCTAAATTCCTATGAAATGGTTATATAAATCCATCATATGGATATGCCACCATTTTTATTATATTACCCTAAAGTTGGATGCTTATATTGCTTCTGGTATTTAGACATTTTTATCAAGTTGATAGGTGAGTAATATCTCCATAAAAATTAATATATGTTTTATATTTTATTGTAGAGAGAGAGCATGCACATGATTAGGGTAAGGGGCAGAGGTAGGGAGAGGGGGAGAGAGAGGGAGGGAGGGAGAGAGGGAGAGAGGGAGAGAGGGAGAGAGAGAGAGAGAATCTCAAGCAGGCTGCACACTCAGTGCAGAGCCTGACACAGGGCTTAAGTCCCCAGCTCTGGGATCATGACATGAGCCGAAATCAGAAGTCGGATAGTCAACCAACTGAGCCATCCAGGGTCACCTAATATTACATTAGAAGATTTTTCAGATGTTAGCTATTTTTTATTTTTAATGAATGTGTTCCAGCTTTATCTGAATATTCTTAGTAGCTTACTAATTAATCATATAATCTTTTATATTCAAGATATTAACTGTTTCATAATATCTGTTGTGAATACAGTTTAGCTTAATTTTCTGATTATAAAAATGGAATCATTGAATTTTGAAAATATAAATAAGTACACAGAAGAAATAAAACTCATTCCATCAGTGTTTCTAACCTGAACATGTATAATTTAATTGAATTAATACCAGACATTCTTGTTGGTACTCTGCTTAGTTCCAGTAACAATAAAGAATAATAGAAAAAGTTTATTAAATGTTTACATTTAGAGGAGCACCTGGGTGGCTCAGTAGGTTAAGTGGCCAACTTCAGCTCAGGTCATGATCTCATGGTTCATGAGTTTGAGCTCCTCATCGGGCTCTGCGCTGTCAGCACAGAGCCCACTTCAGATCCTTTGTCTCCTACTCTCTTTGTCCTTCCTCTGCTCTCTCTCTCCCTCTTACAAAATAAACAAACATTAGAAAAAATAAATTTTTGCTTTTAGCTTTGCTATTTAGTATTCTACTACATAGGTATGCCATAAAGCTGTCTTAAAGATAGACATTTCGTGTTCAGGTTTTCACTACTGTAACACTTTGATTTTTTAAATTTATATATTTTGAGAGAATGAGCATGAGTATGCAGTCAGGGTAGGAGAAGTGAGAAGGGAGTAAGAGAGCAGGAGAGAGAGACTCCCAAGCAGGCTCCACTCTGTCAACGTGGAGCCCGATTAGAGGCTGGATGCTGGATCCCTGGAACTGTGAGGTCATGACCTGAGCTGAGAGCACGAGTCCATCGCCTAACCAGCCAAGCCACCCAGGTGCATCATCACTGTGATGTTCTTAAGATACATTAGAAGTGGAATTGCTCAACCCAAGTGTATTCACTCTTTAACCCTTTCTAAAGGCTGTATAATTCAATTCCCACTAGCAGTGTTTAGGATATCTGTTGTAGCTCACTGAAAATCAACATTTCTTTTTTTTTTAACTAACTTTGAGGTGTAGTTTCCACGTAATAAATGTACTCATTTTAAGCATACTAATCAATGAGTTTGACAAACATATACATATACTTGCATAACCACCACCCCAGTCAAGATGTAAAACATTTCCCCCAAAAAAGATCCCTCTTGTACATTTTCATCAATCATTAATCCCTTCCTCCCACCCCAGGTTCTAAGTAACCACAGATGCTTCCTGACAGCATAGGTTGTATTCTGTCACTGTAGATAGGTAGGTAGGTAGGTAGGTAGGTAGGTAGGTAGGTAGATAGATAGATAGATAGGAAAGAAAAGAAAAAAGAGAAAAGAAAAAAGAAAAAAGAAAGGTGTGTGTGGCGGGGAGAGAGAGTTTTATATAAATGGAATCATACAGTATATGTGCTCTTTGGAATCTGAATTCTTTTGCTCAGCACATCTTTGAGATCCATCCTTGTTGCTGCCTGAATCATTATGTTTCTTTTTGTTGAGTAAAATGCCATTTTATAGATATGCCAGAACTTGTTTATCACCAAGTGAGTGATGAAACATTGGGTTGATTCCACTCTGGAGCTGTAGTGAATAAAGCTACCATATACTTATACAGGTCTCCAGACTGTTAAGCCATGATCCTCTAGAAAATGATTCTTTCTTTTCTTACCTGGGGAAAGAGTTGAGGATGCCAGGTATATCACCCATTGTTTCAAGTCAGGCAGATTTCTCAAAGGAAAGCCAAATCTTGTTTTGGGATCAAATTAGCAGGATGAGGCAATGGTGCAGGATATAATTTTGAGAGCATCTTGGAAAGCCATCTGGGAAGCACCTGATCGCCCTCCTCTTGTAGCAGCCTCAAGCATAAGGCTCCTATTGCTCCCCGCCCCGCCACCCTCCACGTCTTCTGGCTCCTGACAAGTCTGAGAACTCTGCCAAGTCAGTCCCTCTCCACTCCCATGACAGGAAAGGGTCAACGGAGAAAATAACGTCAGGCATCATGCCGTGTAATGCCAGATCCCCTAAATGGCTTCAGGAGGCAGTAGCAGGGTCAGGCTACCCTGCAGGCCACTTGGGCACCTTCCCAGTGGCCTCTAGACTATTCTGTGCCCTCTTTGCCACATGGGAATTGTGTGCTGATGGCTCAGGAAAATTCTCTGCAGTGATCCGCAGGGCTACCTTCTGGACATAGAATGCAAACTTCTTGAGGGCAAGAATCACACCTTATACACATTTTTATATGTGCAAGGCACATAGTAGGTACTTAAATATGGTTTTGGGTAGTGTGTAATCAAAGACTGAGACATGGGCATGGATTCCTGACTTATAAAACTCAACAGCATTTGAAAAAGTTAAAGTAGGGTCTTTAACAATCAGATGCTCCCAAGAAAATATTTTTCCCTGAGATTGAAATTAATGACAGAAGGGCAGTGTGTCTTCTGTTTAGTGATGTAGTACATATGTTATTTCCTACAACTGTCTTTTGAAATAGAAACCAAAAGATAATCATTAATGACTATTACCTCTCTTCTCTTCCTCATCTCCCTTTGTAACAAGCTCTGAAATTTCGAGATTTAAAGAGTGGTTTCCAATCATTAAATTTGGAAACCAGATACATTTGGGGAGTTGTTTTTAAACTCCCCATTAAAGACATTGTGATAGCAAATGCTACTTGGACAATGGGAGTGAGATTCTATAGAGAGGGGAAAAAATGGCTTACAACTTTTCAGGGTAATCTCTCACATAATGAAGGAAAGTAGTCCATTTACAGTAAAGGCCTCAGCTTTGCAGACCAAAAGAATCCTGACTGATCACTATTGATTATGCAGGATCTCTCTCACTAACATTAGCTCTTATCTGTTGCTCATGGCAGAATGAGGTTTTTATGGGGCGTGTTTCTCTTCCCTCAGTTCACTGACATTGGGACCTTCGAGACGGTGTGGCAAGTCAAGTTCTACAATTACCACAAGCGAGATCACTGCCAATGGGGAAGCCCCTTCTCTGTCATTGAGTACGAATGCAAACCCAATGAGACACGCAGCCTCATGTGGGTGAACAAGGAGTCCTTCCTCTGAAGATGGCTCTTTCTGATGTTGCTGGACAATCTCTTCAGAAACCTACTTTTAGATAACCCAGCACAAGCCTTCACCAAGGCACACCACAGCATTGCTGTTACCCTTCGGGTGCTGATGACCTACTAGCCCCGATTATTTTGAAAGTGTAATTCCCTTCTGATCCAATGCCCCTGACATAAAAGATTGTGAGTGATATACCATCCCTGAGAAGATTCCTTTCTGTATTCTGTGTTGGTGTCCCTGCATCCATTTGCTCCCGGTCACACCATTGACCGCTTGTGAGGAGCTCAGTGGAATTGGCAGACATCCCCCTTCTTAACAGTTCCACTGAATGTGGTGGTTTGTTTCCAAGTTGAGTGATTCCCCCTCCCTTTTTTTGTAAAATGCTAAATAAAAATAATGTGTTGTCGGTTCTCTCCCAAGTGTAATATGGTGACATGTAACTTGTAATGTTATCCAGCTCTCTAAGCAGGCTTGGTGAAAATGTAATAAAAACAGCAGTGAGTGGGACTCAAATGCTGTGCTTCCTATAAACAGCTCAGCTTTTTCAGGGAACAATAATGACAAAAGAAAAGGACAAATATTTAAGAAGTGTTTATTACACATTAAAACTCTCTCAAGTAACTTAAGGTGTTATGTGGTGGCCTAACAGAACTGGGAAAAGGCATTGTTGGGGTCCACTGCTAAGGTGACAGAACTTGGAGGGTCACCTTTCTGGCAAGCTTCCGTAGTATTCAAACATGCATATGATGGCATCCCTACATTCCCCTTCACCTGAACTTTGTAAAACTGTGTATGCAACTGTAATGAACTTTTGATATTTCTTAATAAAGGTATTGAAAATCATACCCTGACTTGCCTTCTCAATTTGGTTACTATCTGTCTAGCAAGGGGATTGCTGCTTCAGGTTAGCACCATTCAGCTCTCCAGCTACATTGCAGGGTAAGGAGGATATACCGAGAGTAGAATTAGCACACTTAATCATAGATCAGCTTGGACAGTTAACACTCCAGCCAGCTCTAAGGAAGTTAGCAGAGACTCTGGCACTTGGTGGGCAATCGGAAAAACTTGTTCCAGGGCACCTGGGTGGCTCAGTTGGTGAAGCGTCTGACTTTGGCTCAGGTCATCATCTCGCAGTTCATGTGTTCAAGCCCAGCGTCGAGCTCTCTGCTGTCAGTGTGAACCCCGCTGCTGTTCCTCAGACTCCCTCTTTCTTTGGCCCTCCCCCACTTGCTCGCTCTCTTTCTCTATCTCTCAAAAATAAACAAACACTTATTTTTTAAAAAATGCTTGTCCCTGTCTTCTCTCCATTCCTCCTTCCGCAATGACCACTCTCATCCGCTGGCTGTGTAGCTGAGGAGCTCGAGGACGCGCTACTGTAATAGAGCATGTACACCGGGGTGGAGCCCTTGCTTGCTCCCAGGGTACTGCAAAGCTGTTACTCCATGCAGTTTGAGGATAAATTCCCTAAGAAGGAAAGAAACTTTTTCTGGGAAAGTAGCATACTACTCTGCAAGAGTGTTGTCATGGTCACTTGGAAAGCACAGATCCTACTGTGTTGGGAAAAGTTAGTTGTGGCTTTGCTTTTTTTGCTACCTGTGAAGCCTTTGTAGGAGTATGCTAGGTTCATGGGAGTGTTGTAAGAAGTTTATCGTAGGACCGCATTGGCAGGGCTGGCCCTGAACCCTTTGCCCCGCCTAAGTCGCTTACCTGTAATGAGGCTGTACCGCCAGCAGGGCACAGCAATGCCTTGGGTTTGGGCTCAGCATGCGTGGTGTTGAAAGAGAGCAGTGTGTTTCTCAATTCATTTGTGAAAAATAGTAGTGTCTGTTACAACTGCTAAACATAAGCATTAATCCATTCCTAACTTCTGTATTTTAAAAACCAGCATTCAATTATTTGAACAGACATTGAGATAAGCAATGGATTTACTGTAGACAGGGGCTTAAGTATTTTTTTTTCCAGAATATCCAATAGAAATGCAGACTTATAGGTGGTGGGAAAATGTGAAAACTATATTTTAGTCTTGAAGTATTCGATTAGTAAATACTTTCATTTGTGAAACGAGGTTTCAAGCTAGTGCCTCATCTGTCAAAGCTTTAGCATTGGTTTTGGGGGGGAAACAATATCACAGCTTCTGCAATTTTTTTTTTTTTTTTTAAGTAGAGGCTTTAATTTTTGGGTTTAGAATGACTCACAGCAGGGCTGGGGCAACATGACCTGGTTTAACTGCATACACCCTCCACACAGAAGAGTGGAAGGCGAGCCCCTGAAGAGAAGCTGGAGGATATGAGTCCCACAAACATGCTAGTTGAGCCTAAGTGGCCACCACCTTTGTAGGTCTCTGTGTCTAAAACAAGGGGTTAGGCTAATAGAATTCCGAAGCTCTTGGGGCGCCTGGGTGGCTCATGGTTAAACCTCTGATTCTTGTTTTCAGCTCTGGTCACAATCTCAGGGTTTTGTGGATTGGGACCCCATTTCAGAGCTCTGGGCCGGCAGCACAGAGTGTGCTTGGGATGCTCTCTCTCCCCCTCCTCCTCTTGTGCTCTCTCTCTCTCCCTTTCACTCAAAATTTAAAAAATAAATTCTAAAGCCCTTAAAGATTTATGATTCATATCTCAGCTTTACACTCCCTTTTTTAAATTTCATTTTATTTATTTTTTTAATTTACATACAAGTTAGTTAGCATATAGTGCAATAATGATTTCAGGAATAAAATCCCTACATATAACTCCCAGTGCTCACCCCAACAAGTGTCCTCCCTAATGCCCCTTGCCCATTTAGCCCATCCCCCCACCCCAAACCTCTCCAGCAACCCTCAGTTTGTTCTCTGTATTTAAGAGTCTCTTATGTTTTGTCCCCCTCAAAAAGTGTGTGTGTGTGGGTGTGTGTGTTTCCCTTGGGGCTGAGATAGAAGGTTGAATCAAGAGGTGGGGAGGAGATGGAGATGAAGTAAACAGGAAATCTTAACAGCTAATCTGCCACGTTAAGTGATCTCTCCTGGCATATACTGTTCTACTTATGATTGGAGTTCAGCCCGGTCTCTCTGGCTACTTCTCGCATAGCTCTTCTCCTACTCCAAAATTTGAGTGCTCAGCTATATCAAGCTGCTGAGTTGTAACTTTGCCCCTCAGCCATCTGGAAGGGCTATTTTTATACAAGTTGTAGCCGTGTCTCTCTACTTCTAAGCATCAGATGGCTACCCAGAAGCTTGAGGAACTAGGCCATCCTTCTAATTACGATGATGACTAAAACACTTTTGAACAGGTGGAAGAGTAGAAATGCCTTGCATTTATATTTTGTGATACCTCACTTATCGAGAAGTCACTTATCCAGCCTTCCAAACTATCTGGATCGCAGCTGACAACAGAAAACATGCCAAAAAATAAAGATCCCTGTCACAGATGTCACAAAGTCCATGCGCTAAAGGCTTGGGTCTTCTCTCAAGAAGTGGCTCCTACTTCAGAGACAGTTCTAACATATAGGATGTTCGGTTTCTGGCTTTTAGGAAATTGGAAGCAGAACAATTGGAAGAAAGAGGGCAATTTGTAGGAGTAGATGCACTGAAAATAATTATTTTTTCACAGAAAGAGGACAAAGGAAGCAGGTAAAGTACATTGAAAAGTGTAACAGATAAGGACATCCCTGTACTATAGGGATACAACCTGTGCTAGACCACAGTAGTTTCTGTGGACATCAAATAAAAATTGATATACAGAGTCATTGTCCTGATTTATTTAGGAAGATGATCCATTGTCTTCAGAAATGTAGCATCATGACTCAGTGTTTAAGAGTTCAGATTCAGGCAAACCATGAGAGACTCTTGAATGCTGACAAAAACTGAGGACTGATGGATGTGGGGGGGAGGAGGGATGGGCATGGAGGAGGGCACTTGTGGGGATGAGCACTGAGTGTTATGTGGAAACTAATTTGACAATAAACTATTTGTAAAAATAAATAAATAAAATAAAGAGTTCAGATTCTGGGGTCTCCAGTTGGTTGAGCCTTCGGCTCTTGATTTGGGTTCAGGTCATGATCCCAGGGTCGTGGGATTGAGCCCCAAGTTCAGCTCTGTGCTGAGTATGGAGCCTGCTTAAGATTCTCTCTCTCTGCTCTTCTCCCTCATTCCTGCTCTTGCTCGCTCTCTCAAAAAAAAAATAATAATAAGTTCAGATTCTATAGCTTAGAAGCCTCAAATCAAATCCTGGCTCATCCACTTAACAGCTGTATGACCTTAGACAAGTCACTTCATATCTCTTTTCTTCAGTTTTCTCACTTAGAAAATGGAGATGATAAAGTGTGTACCTTATGGAGTGGTTATAAGGATTAAAGAAGTAGAATTATGTAAAATCTTTAGAATTATGTCTGACACATAACATTATTTTTTTAATTTATTATTTTTTAGTGTAGTTGACACACAATGTTTCATTCATTTTGTATGTACAACTTGGTGATTTGACAAATTTATACATTACGTTATGTTCATCACAAGTATAGCTACCATCTTCCCATTACATCGCTATTAGAGTATCATTGCCTGGCACACAAATAGCATTATTTGGTTCATTTTGTTTAAAAGAAAGGGCAAAATACCTTTCCAAACAAAAGCAGTTTTACAATGTCAAGAAATAAAAAACTGAAGGTATTTAAGGAAATATAACTTCTTCTTCTAGGATATTCCTTACATGGATATGGAGTGATGGCCAACATTTATGCTCTAATTTTATACAAAAGAAAAAAGATAAAAAGATGTAGAGGCAATATTTTAATGATTTGAAAGCAAATAGCTTGAAGTAATATATTTTAAGATATGCTGGAAAAAGAGTTTCTCCACAACCAGGCTTCATAAAGGTTGTTTTAGGAAGACCCAGTTTTGAACAACATGGAAACATCAGGACAGAGTCAGGGAACTTAAAATCTGGTAAAGGTCAAGAATGATGTTTCAAGTTTTATCTGTTATTTCAGGTAGGCAGCGCCTGTTATATCTCCATTTTCTAGAGGAAAAATAAGTCTCAGCTGCTGAAACCTAAGGCTCCAGTTTAATCAGCTAATTTTCTAAGGAACTCCTTTCTTTGATCCCTGGTTTTCTCACTTATGAAACAGTGACAATAATATCCCTATCCCAAAGTGTGTTCAGATTAAATAATATATCACATGCAAAGCACCGTCTTTCTCTTCTCCCCATCTCCTTCCACCTGACACATTTCATTTAAAATGACTTCATTATGTGCCCACGCTCCTACAGTGTTTGTTTTTTTATCTTGGTGATTTTGCCTATATTTGTTTGCAGCCTAGTAGATCGGTTGCTTTTTGCAAAGAAAATAGCTGCAGCTATCTTAAATATATATTATATGATATATCTTATGTATCTCATAATATATGAGACTTAAAAATTACTGCCAATAAATAGAAGTACTCAATTTCTTGAAACTCAGTACTCAGTATAGAAATATATAGCACTCTACACAGCAAATTTCTTAAAGATGACCTTTTCTCTTTTTTTTAATTACTTTTTATTTTGAGGTGGGGGAGAGACAGAGACAAACAGAGAGAGACAATCCCCAGCAGACTTTGAGCTGTCAGCAAAGAGCCAGATGCAGGGCTCAAACTCGCGAACAGTGAGATCATGACCTGAGCTGAAATCAAGAGCTGGACACCGAACAGACTGAGCCACCCAGACACCCCAAGATGACATTTTCTCTTTAAAGTCATACTAACTACTATTAGAGCACTAAGACATTACAATTTTTCCTGAGCAAGTATGGTGTTCCACTCCATTTGCTAACGAGTGAAAGATCAGGCAATATTTTTGGTCCCACCCAGGCACTGTAGATTCTAGCCAGTGA